TTCTTGTACTGGGGGGCCCAAACCTGGACACAGTACTCCATCTGGGGCCTCATGAGAGCAGAGCAGAGGGGGACAATTGCCTCTCTTGACATGCTGGCCACATCTCTGTGTTGGGTCTGTCTGGGATGGAGTCACCTTTCCCTGCAGCAGCCCACACCGTGCTGTGCTCTGCACTCATAGCTGGAACAGCACTGATATCACTCCAGTGTTGTGTCCATTGCTGCATAGTGCTGGCACAGCATCAGGACTCTTTCTAAGCCCCCAAGAGCCAGCAGGCTGGGGGTGGGCAAGTGATTAGGAGGGGACATCACCAGGGCAGCTGACCTAAACCAATCAAAGGGATATTCCATAACACCTGATGTCACACTCAGCAATAAAAAGGGGGACCTCTCATAGGGGCGATGGGGGGGGAGGGGGGCTGTTCCTCCCAAACAACCTCTATGCGTTTTGATGCTCTGCTTCCCAGGACATGGCTGAACATCACTCATTGATGGGAAGTAGAGAATATTTTTTTTCCTTCTCTCTGTGCTTCCACGTGGACTTATTGTTTCTTTTGTTACTTTTTCTCCCCATTACCTTTCTCTTTAATTAAACCTTTATCATCTCAAACCTTGAGTTCTCTGTGTTGTATTTTCTCCCCCTTCCTCTTTGAGGAGAGGGGGAGTGAGAAAGTGGTTGTGGTGGAGCTTGGCTGCCCACCTGAGTAAAACCACCACAACTTCTTTTGATGCAGCTCAGGATGCAGTTGGCCTTCTGGGCTGGAAGTATGCACTGTTGGGTCATGTCGAGACTTTGGCCACCAGAACCCTCAAGCTCTTCTCCGCAGGGCTGCTCTCAATGAGTTCTTCTCCTGGTCTTTACTCATGCGTGGGATTGCCCCGGCTCAGGTGCAGCGCCTTACATTTGGACTTGTTGAACCTCATGTGGTTCACAGGGTCCCACTTCTCCAGCCTGTCCCTTTGAATGGCATCTCTTCCTTCTTTGGTATCAATCGCACCACTCAGCTTGGTGTCATCTGCAAACTTGTTGAGGGTGCACTCAATCCTATCATCTATGTCATTGATGAAGATATTGAAAAGCACCGATTCCAAGACAGACCCCTGAGGGACGCAGCTCATCATCGGTCTCCACTTGGACACAGAGTCATTGACCACCACTCTCTGGGTGTGGCCATTGAGCCAATTCCTTATCCACGGGATGGTCTACCTTGTCAAATTCACATCTTCCAGTTTAGAAATTAGGATGTTGTGTGGGACTGTGTCAAATGCCTTACAGAAGTCCAAGTAGATGACAACAATCTTCCTCTGTTGACTGATGCATTAGTCTATCATAGAAGGCCACTAGATTGGTTAGGCAAGATTTACCCTTGGTGAAGCCATGCTGGCTGTCCTGGATCACCTTCTTGTCCTGTATATGCTCTAACTTTGCCTCCAGGAAGATTCATGCCTTGATCTTCCCAGACACAGAGGTGAGACTCACCTATCTGTAGTTCCCCAGATTTTCCTTTCTAACCGTTTAAAAAAATTTAAATATATTTTTTTCAAGATCCTTCATTATGGGTTGACTTTTCATTAGTACAGGTAAAGAACACTGACAGATAAATCATTTCTTCAAGCAGAGAGGTTTTTCAGGAATTAGAGTACTAGAATTGCATTTGGGACATACCAGTTTAATGTTTCAACCCATTCTTGGTTTTCCCACAACTCTCTGTCTTCAAAATTCTCCACTACTGCATTGGCCTATCAGAATATTACAGGGTCACAGAAAGTTTGTGTTCAGAAGAGATCAGGTAGTCCAGCTACTCTGCTCAGGCTATCCCATAGGTTTCAGCTAGAAGTGGAACATGCAGAAAAAATATAATGCAAATATGTTTCCAGGTTATATAATATGAGCTCAATTCCAAGTTTAGCGGATACTATTGTCCTTTTTGGCCACAAAGGCACATTGCATACTCATGGTTAACTTCTTGTCCACCTGGACTCCCATATCCTTCTCTTCAGAGCTAATTTCCAGCAGGTCAGCCACCAACTTATACTGGTTCATGAGCTTATTCCTCCCTGGGTGAAAGACCCTGCACTTGTCTTTGTTGAACTTCATGAAGTTCCTCTCTACCCATCTCTCCAACCTGTAAAGGTCTCTCTGAATGGCAGCACAGCCTTCTGTTGTATCAGCCACTCCTGCCAGCTTTGTATCATCAACAAGCTTGCTGAGGGTGCATTCTGTCCCTTAACCCAGGTCATTCATGAATAAATTTAACATGACTGGACCCATTACTGACCCCTGGGGACACCACTAGCTTCCAGCCTCCAATTAGACCATGCTGCTGCATGCAGAGCACAACCCTCTGTGCTCTGCCATCCAGGAAGTTCTCAGTTCACTTTTTGCAATTATCAAGTAGTCAGATATGAAAGGAAACTAGTATGTTATAACTCCTTTTCCAATAACAAAATAGTTTTCTTCAATGTAGCAGAAAAAAAATAATCAGTTATAGGTAATGTATTATTGATTGTAAACAGTAATTTATGCAGTAGTGTGGACATTGATGAAGGCATTCATTGCATTGTGATACAAGGTCACGTTCATTAAGTTAGAAGTTCAAAATCTGGATAGAGCACTGATGTGTGCACACAGTCATGAAAATGATGATTGCAACTACAAATCATATCATAAATTCTTCAGCAAAATTGAATAGTTCTATCAGTTCTGAGTTATCAAACTTCTTATATTTGGTATTCATGTTTTATATACACATGGAGGTACAAATGCTAGTCTGAATTATCTAATTTTAAAGTCGAAAGCATCAATTATAAAAGTGCAACTCAATTAAAACTATTCACAGTAATGTTATTCATTCCATGTCTTATCAAGATGGATTAGCAAGATTTGCTTGTACCCTAAATTTTCTTCATTTGATGTCTCAACCTACATAATATTATTGTTTATATTCTACATTCCACTCCTAAATCACTTCTAGATCTATTTAGGTCACTACTGATAAATTCACCAACATCTTTGAAGAAGAAAGCCAATGCGCATGTTTGTAAATTAATGTTTGATAGCGTTTGTTTTGTTTTTATTTGTTTGTTTTGCTTCATTGTTTCTTACATATTCTGAATTTAAGCATATTTATTTCTGATAAAACCCTCTCGAGATGAGAAATATGTTTAATTTGCATAAAAATTAAAAAATAGAGGTTGTGTGTTTAAATGTTAGTCCCATACCTTGAATTTGTACCTCCAAAGTTCTCTTTCTAGTAGAGACTGTATGAAAAGTGCATTTTCTGTAAGCATTAGGAAAAACAATATTTACAATAAAATCTCTGACTGCAGGTCTTGTAAACTAAAAATGAAAGCTTTGTATTACATGTCTTTGTTTGGTTTACTTAGAGTGGAATTATTTTGCACAGTTACAATTTATTGTGTTATTGTATATTAGTTTGAAGTTCAGTAGCTAAGCTCCAGAAAAAGTTAGGAATGAGCAAGAATTAGACTAAATATCAGCACAAAATGCACGTCAAAATGCTGTTGTGGCATGTATGGAGGTGACCTGTGGTGGTATTGTCAATGCTACGAGATAAAAGCCTGAGTTTCTCTCTCTCATGGGCAAGTTGGCAAAGGAGACATCAGTGAAAGTATGGGACACCAAAACTTGCTCCTGTAGACTGTAAGGAGCGGCTGAGAGAATGGATCAAGGATAATGTATCATAAACACTGAGTACCTCTTGAACTGTGGGTACTTATCATAGAATCACAGCTGAGTTGGAAAGGACCTTAAAGATCATCTAGTTCCAACACCTATGCCATGGGCAGGGACACCTTCCCCTAAATCAGGTTGCTCAAAGCCCCATCCAACCTGGCCTTGAACACTTCCAGACTTCAAGGGATGGGGCATCCGCAAATTTTCTGGGCAACCTGTCCTCATCACTCTCAGAGTAAAGAATTTCCTCCTTTTTTGTTTTTATAATCTAAATCAATACTTTCTTAGTTCTGAAGCTATTCCTCCTTGTCCTATCAACAACACTTCTTGGCAAAGGAGAGGTGCTACAACCCCTTGATCATCTTTGGATGCGTCCTAATATTTCCATGTCTTTCTTGTATTGCATTCAGCCCCACAGCTGAATGCAATACTCCAGGTGGGGTTTCACAAGAGCAGAGTGAATCAACTTTCTCAACCGGGATTCTTCTGATGCAGCCCAGGATACGATTGGCTTTCTGGGCTGCAAGAGAACACACTTCTTATTACGCAGCTTCATTCCACTTTGTCTGTATAAAGTTCCACTTCATCCGAAACAAAAATGCTTCTGAGGTGGGCTCATGTACAGTTTTATGATGTTTTGATACAGGATATGGACATGCATAGGCTGACTATTGAAACTGAAAATATAAATCCAAAAGCCTAGTTCCAGTAACAATTCTACAGTTTGAAACAAGGTATTGTCTGAATCTGATCTGTGTGGATCTTCCTGTGGTGGTAGCTCAGCATAAAGAAATCTGGAAAATAAATCACAGCTTAGTTCTTTTCTTAAACTTTTATCCCATTCAACTTGCACAACATTTTCACAAACTTTGGTTTCCAGCAAGGCTGTGCAGGTCAAAGGATATAAAAATGTGTTTCTGTGGAGTGCTATTATCTTTGATTACATGAAATCATAACGTTTGGAAAAGATAAATGAGTTTTTAAGCATCTTGCCTTTTCATTGTATTTGTATAATTATTTAAATGACATCCAAGTGTGCCATTTTAAATTTTAATTGCAATTTGGGGAAAAAAATCCTTGACATTTCTATTGTAAAGAATCACATCCTATTTATTTATTTACATGTACTTATTTAAGAACAGGTTTTTTTTTCTTTTTTCTTTTTTTTTTTTTTTTTTTTTTAAGGTGGGTAATGTCAGCTTACGAATTTTGCTGGAATCAGGATGCTCCAGTTTAAAAAAAAAATAAATACATAATGTCTTTCAGATGTCTTAAATAATATTTGTGTTGATAGTTTTAATATTACTGTCACCAGAATACTGATAGTATTGTGAAAATTAGCAATAAGCTCTTTTTGTTGTTGTTGTTGTTGTTGTTCTAGAATAACCATTTTGTTTTCCCCAACGACTTCTGAGATACCCAGAAGATAAAGCTCATGTAAGTATTATGTCTTTCTTTGCACCATATACAGAGTGGCATGGGGAATTTAGTGCATTAGAATATCTGTTTGTTCTCTGAATAAAACCAGTCATATACTCTTTCAAGATATCAAACCAGCATCTTTTACAGAAAAAATTAATTTAAAAGAATGTTGCTAAGTCAAAGCACTTTGTTCAAGCTTTATATATTTATTTATTTTTAAAAGTTCTGTCAACTTTCAGTCAATTGTCATTAATGACAGGCTGTAATTTGTATCCTTGATATCAAAAGTGTGTGATTACTTAGTGGCAATTGTTCCTTGGTAAGTATATGAAATATTTATTGACTTCACACATTTTTTGCTAGAAAAAAAAAAAATATATATATATATATATATATGAAGGCATTCAGAAATAGTAATAAAAAAAATCTGATGAAAATAGGACTACGTTCTGCACAAATTGTCTATGTAATTATAATATATATATATAAAACTAAAAACCAAACCAAACAATAACAACAACAACAAAACAAAACAAAAAACAACCTCTAAATCCTATCTGGATTCTTGTTCATTGATAAATTCTTATTTTTTTTTTTTTTTTATTCTTTCTCCTTCAGTAATCTAAAGGATCGTCTACTGGTGCAGAAAATCTTGTCATTAATAAACTGATTCACTGATACTGTATTCAGTAGTCAAACAAATAATTGGCCTGGTATTAGCAATTTATCTAACTTATTTAATTGTAAATAACACTTCAGCTGAAAACATACATTTTTTCAGGTAATTACTTAATACAGAAGATATAATTTTTTATTTCAAAATTATTTTATCTTAAAGCTCTAAAGATTAATTAGAATAAAATCCTATAGCTATACACATAAGCATAGGACTTTTGAGTCAGGAGCATCCTCTGGATGTTGAAGTTTTGTTTTGTTATTGTAGCTTTAAAAAAAAATGTTTGTTTGTCCTTAAAATAAGAACAAAAATTCATATTTATAAATAATCTCATTAGGGTAAATCAATTAGAGCAAGATTAAAATTATTATTTTACTTTATTTTGCTTTACTTTATTTATTATTTTTCTTCTAGGAATACCACAGAAATTTACATCAAAAAAAGACTGCTTCAGTCACTGAAATTCTCCAGGCTCAATATCTGACATGCAAAATGAAAATTTTTTTACCACCAGAAACCATCATAATGTCTTTTAAACGAACTATGAAATTTTGTTTTCAGTGTCCTTAAGAACAGCAAATGAAATTGGAGAAATTAATTTCTATACAGCATATTTCCTAATCAAATAATACTTTTATTCATATATTTATTCATATATTTATTCTTTAAATTGTTTGCCAAAAGTCAGAAACACTGAAATACAGGATTTCCTTTGAGAAATTTGGTGATAGATTGTGGAATCACAGAATCACATAATGGCTGAGGATGGAAGGGACCTTTGAAGCTTATCTGATCCACACACCCTGCTCAAGCAATGCCACTTAGAACATTTACCCATGACCATGTTTGACAGCCTCTCAAAGGAGGCTCTCCCAAAGGAGAGAGACTGCACCACCCCTCTGGGCAACCTGTGTCAGTGCTCAGCCACCATCACAGTAAAAAACCCTCCTGTGTTTCAGTTTGTGCCCATTGCTTCTTGTCCTGTTACTGGGCATCACTGAAAAGGACCTGGCTCTATTCTCTTTTCACTGTCCCTTTAGGTATTAATACACATTAATGAGACCCTCTGAAACATCTCTTTTATAGACTGAACAGTCCTGCATCCCTCAGCTTTTCCTCTCAGAAGAGATGCTCCACACTCTCCATCATTTCTGTGGCCCTACTGGGCAGCCCAGAACTGGACTCAGTACTCCTGGTGTGGCCTCACCAGTACTGAATAGAGGGGAATGTCTAACTATATGCATCCCGAGCTTGTAGATTTCTTGGTTTGTCATGGAGATTGTATGCTAACCTATGATGATGACCTGAGGAGTTTCATCTGATTCTCCAGAGGTCAAGGGCTGCTCAAACATTACCTTATTTTCCAGTTCCATGTGAATGCTTTATTTCAAATTACAGTAGGTACCAAAATTTTGGCAAATGAATCATGTCTCAAATATGTTTTCTCCCTAAAATTGCTTTCCTGTATTTTCTGTTGTCATATAGGCTTATCATCGATTAGTGAAAAAAAGAAAATGTTTATTATTATATAAAAATTTCTGCAACAAATTGAAAAGTATATATAAAGCTCAAGGTCATATAATGTAAAGAACTTCAGAAATTCACTAAAAATGCACAACTTTCTTTCACAGTGGAAAGGATACTAAGATTATTGATATTAAATTAAAAGTGCTGAAATTAATATATGCAGAAGTATTTAAAATAGATATTAAATACACATATGAAGATGTTAAACCTAACATTTAAAAATATGAAATTATGTCTATTTAGAGAAAAAACAGTATGTGAAATTAGATTTAATTACAGGAGAAAACAAACTTCATGACTGATATGTATGCTTTCAAACTACCAAAATGTGTAATGCTATCTCATTAAAGTTCCTGTGAATTGTAAATGATGTGATACTCAATATACGTATACATATATATATATAGACAGCCAGCCATGCAGAACACTGGCAGATGCACTCAACATTCAAACACTGTAAACTCTGATGGCTACATCATATTCCCCTCTTGGACTTGTCAGGATGAAGCTGTTAGTGGGAATATATGTATGTATACATATACATATATACATATGGGCTGACACTGATCTGTGTATACATACATGTATATGTACAGGTATATATATATGTAAATAGTATATTCATAAAAATGCATATTTATATATGTGCACATATATTATGTATATACACACAGCATGGGTTGTGCATATATATACACTTATAAATAAATAAATAAATATATATATATATACACACATACATGCTTGAGCAGCTGGGCTCTTATATTCAATATGCCCAATAGCTGCCTCAGGATCCCAGTCTCCTTATCACCCTGGGGTGCTTTGGGCTGCCTTCATGGGGCAGTGGGTTGGGATGGGGCAGGGTGCAATGTGGGCATCATCTGTCTATTGTTCCTCTGTGTTTTTTCTGTGTCTGGAGATGAACTTCTCATGTACCCTAACAGAATGTACATGATGTGTATTTTATAAATACATTTTATTTATTTATTGTGAAGGCTAAAGAATCTAATCCTCTGGTTTATTAGTAATATTAAAGGCACATTAAAGCATATTTTAAAATATAGATTTTTGGGGGGTATGATTACTTTTATTTGTACAGGTAATTAAAACAGAGAGGAATTGCAACATAAGCTTAGGATGACTGAAAAGCACACATTTCAAGGACATTTTTTTTTCAGATTACTAACATCCTTTTAATGTTTTTAGTGTTATCCTTTTAATGTTATTTTAATATTTTAGAAGTGTGCATTTCCAAGTGAAAACAACAACAAATTAAACATAAAAAACAAACAAAAACCACACAAACCAAACCAAACCAAAAAGCAAACAAGTCATAAGGTATTTCATGAAGTTATTTAGGAAAAGTCATATCCAGATTATTTTTAGAGATAATAACCTTGTCAAGCTCAAAGTCTGTCAGCCACTGCCTTTTTCAGTAAAGACTTTAAAAAAATGTTGTGAGCAAACTCCTGTTTGAATCACATTAATTTTGGTAGACTCTGGATCAAGCCCATCGTGATACTGTTATTAAAGTATGTTTGCTCTTTGATAAATAAATCCTATGGACAGTTTACAAAAGTAACTAATGTGTATGATCTGTATGTCATTCACTAGTCATGGCATTGTCTGAATTACCAGAAAAAGTCTAAAAGGCATTGGCTGTGCCTCCATAGACCATGTGGAAATCCCTTTTACCTTCCTATTATGGATTAGTGTTATGTATATTCTGGCACAGTGACAGAAAATAAAACACTTTTTTATCTCCTTCACCATTTAGAAACTCTGTTTTGTTTTATTCTCTCTTTACCATTATCTCTTCAATTAAATGAAAAAAAAATATATAAATAATCCAATAAAATGTAATTTTCTAGACCACTTTGTTCCATTTTCTTTTTACTCTGCTTCCATCCTTTATACTAATCTCTTCTTTTTTTTTTTTTTTTTTTCTTCTATTTGAGTTTAACTCTTGCTTTATAACTCTTTTGTGATGTTATTTCTTGTCTTCCATTTTTACTCATCTATCAGTTTCCAGCTATCAGAAAGCTAAAGAAGTTACTATTATTTTACAACAAAAAATTCTATACACTTAGTCAAAGTCAGGCTTTGAGCTTTTCTCAAGACACATGAGTTCATACATTCTTGATCCATATGAGTTAGAGCTTTTCTGTAAATCCCCAAAGCACTTTGTTCTCTCTATGGAGTGCCTCTGTACGTGTAAGGTTGTGTTTGCAGGAAGGCTAACCATTCAAATACATGTTTCAGGGCAAATACATGTACATATTTGATGGAGAGTGATGTTAGCTGAGAATGCTGCTACAGAAAACTGGTGAAACCAACTAAACTTTCTATCTTTATAGACTTACCCTATCTTAGCTACAGAAAAGATGCACTATAGCTTGGGCTGTAGTACAAAACACCAAAAGTAAAATGCTAAGAAGACACTCCACAGCCAAGTATTAAGTTCACTTGTTTTTACCCTGAATGAGAATTTTAATTAAAAAAAAAAAAAAAAAAAAAAAAAAAAGTAATAGCTTTAAACCACACTTTAATTTGTACTTACAGTCTAAAGATTGACTGTGAAGACAGGCATTTCTTGTTTAACATACCTGTTCACTTTGCATTTACAAGACTTTTTCCATTTTTGTGCCTAACCTTCCCTCCCTCAAGGGGGAGGGAAGGGAAAATATAAAATAAAAGAGATGGGGGAAAAACAAACAAACAAACAAAACATACCAAATAATAAAAGCAACAAGATCTCAGGCCCATATTCCCCTGGAGCTGAACAATGAAGCAACATACCTCTATACCTCTGAATTACTTAATCTGACTCTGCTGAAGGTCACAGGCAGTAAGGTGAGTACATTCTCTGCCTTGGAAGAAGGGCCTGATATATGGTATAAAGACATACCATGGTGGTGGTTTTTTTTTTAAATCACAATAGCAATTAAAGTATGAGATACTAATAGAAATAGAGAACAAGATTAAATCTCTACTATTTTTCTGCCTATTGTAACAATAACATGTAATGGACTTCTTTATCAAAAATGTTCTAGCATGATATCTAAGTAGAATGGTGATCTATGTGCTCCAAAATTATCTTTATTCACGTTACTTCTGTCAACACAAATCTTTTTATTCTGTCTATAAATGTCAGCCTCTTGAGATACTAATTGCCATTTCGATTTGTAATGTCATTTATGCCTCTTGTTGAACAGTGCTGGGCAATGTGTTTAACAACCATCCTATCATTACATATTCTGGATTGCAAATATTTAAAGGGAAATTGTTTGTGCAATGCCTCTTGATGATGTTATTAAGAACAGTTCCCCTGCAGTGAAATACTTAAATAACAGTGAAAACAAAGTCAAGGCTTCCAGAAAGCATACCATAAATGTAAAAAGAATGATGCATTCTCTGATGCATTCTCTTCAAGTTGAGCATGCTTTTATGCATTATAAAATAAAATAAAATAAAATAAAATAAAATAAAATAAAATAAAATAAAATAAAATAAAATAAAATAAAATAACATCAAAATAATTTTATCTTTGGGATTTCTAATGTGCTAGAAATCAGCTGGTGGTTCAGTGAAAGCTAAAGGTTTTGTTTGTTTTCCATATTTGTTGTTAGTTTGAGACTTTCTGCCTCTTTCTTTAAATTCACACATTCACATAATATGGCTAGTCATATTATACATTACACTCTTCCTTATACTTAAAAGTATACTTATATGTCTGTCATTCTCACATCTTTACGTTGAAATGACAGTTTTCTTGACTTCAGAAGGACCAAGATTTTACTAATTATCTGTTCTTTCTGAGTATATGACATTATGAAACATCTTGACAAAAGTTATACCTACTTGTGAGTCCTATGAATTAAAAAATAAATAAATAAATAAAGTAAGAATAGTGCTAATAAACCGTGATTAATTTTATTATGGAAATGTTTAGAACTTCCATTTTTCAGCTATCACACGTTAATTTTGAATAAAGGACTGAGGCAACCTCTCTTCCTGAATAGGTGAAAAGGTGCAAAGAAAGAAAAAAGACACTCATCCTTTCTAAATTAGGAACAGAGAAACGTGTATTTCTCTCCCTTTGCTTCAAGCATCTAAAGAATAGATCTGCATCAAAGCTCATTGCTTAGATTTCTACTGGAAACTGCTCTCACTTAAGGAGTTCTCAGTTACAAGTCCTTAGCTCATAATGTTTGTGGTGATTTCACACAACTAAACTCCACCACACTACTCTCTCACTCCTCCTCACAAGGACAGGGGAAGAAAGTATGAAGAAAAACAAACAAACAAAAAAAAAAAAAAAAAAAACAAGCAAAAAACAAAACAAAACAAAACAAAACAAAAACTCATAGGTTCATATAAGGATTTTTTCATGGGCAAAATGGGCTCAGCACAGGGAGGTTAGTGTAATTCATTCCCTAATGCTAACAACAGACTAGAGCTGTGATAACTAAAAGCAAACTAAAACCATGTTCACTCCATCCACCCTCTTCTACCTCCTCCTCCCAGGTGGAACAGGGGAATGTGGAATGGGGAATCTGGTCAGTCCATAACATGTTGTCACTGCTTCTCCTTCACAGTCACTCTCTGCCCCTGTTCCAGCATGGGATCCCTTCCACAGTATGTTGTCCTTCCCAAACTAATTCCATGTAGATTTTTCACAGACAGCAGTTTTTCAAGAACTGCTCTGATGTGGGCCCATAGCATGAGGTTCAGGAACAGACTGTGCCTACATATGTCCCCCATGGGTGGCAGCCTCCTTCACCCCCCCACCCCCACCCCAGACTTCCTGCTCATACGTGGGTTCCTCTCCATGAGCTGCAGCTCTAGTTTGGGGCCTGCTCCTGCGGGGGCTCTCCATGGGCCGCAGCCTCCTCCAGGCCACATCCACCGGCTCCACCGGGGGCTCCTCCATGGGCTGCAGCGTGGAGATCTGCTCCATGTGGGACCCATGGGCTGCAGGGGGACAGCCTGCTTCACCAGGGGCCTCTCCACAGGTTGCACGGGAAGTTCAGTTCTGGCTCCTAGAGCACCTCCTGCCCTCCTGCACTGACCTTGGGGTCTGCAGGGCTGGTTCTCTCACATTTTCTTACTCCTCGCTCCCTGCTGCTGCTGTGCATTAGCTTTCTTCTGTTTTGTTTTTGTCGCTAGTTTTTATTATTATTATATATATATTTTTTTCTTTTTAATATATACTCTCACAGAGGCATGACCAGCATTGTTCATGGCCTCAGCTTTGGCCAGCAGCAGGTACCCTTTGGAGCCAGCTGGAACTGGTTCTTATCTACCATGGGACAACTTCTGGACTATTCTCACAGATGGCACCCATGCAGCAGCAGCAACGGCCCCCAC